TATAAAGGGACAAGAATAAAACAAGACAACTGTGCTAATAGCTGCAAAAACAGAACTTCACTTTTAAGAGTTTTGGACCATTTCACATTTAGACAAAATTATTATTAAAAACATCATATATATCACAGTTTTTTCTTTAAAAATATTTTTATTTGTTCTTTTTGGACAGACAGGATGGTAAGAGTATATTCTGACATACTATACCTACATGGAGTATAACTTCCCATTCTTGTGGTTGTATATAATATGGAGTTTCACTGGTCAGGTATTCATATGTGAACATAGGAAAGTTATGTCCGATTCATTCTTCTTTTTCCTATTTCCATCCCCCTCCCTTCCCTTCGGGAATAGAAGTTCAGTGGTCCTCACTCACATTTTTAAGTTTAATTTTAAAAACTCAAAAAAGTGTCGATGATTGCCCAAACCCTTGGGAAATTCTAGGCAGATGGCGTCGGAAGAGTGTGGCTTTAGAAATCACAAGTCCTGGAGTGATTTGTGATTTGTGTTCACCAGCTATTGCCAGAGTAATCTTGGGAAAATTTCTCAGGTCCATTTTCCTAATTTAAAGTAGATGTAATGTTTGGTCAATTAGTTCAGTTGATTAGAATGTGGTGCTAATAAGATAGGCATCATAATACCTGACTCAAGTAATTGCGGTCGTTAGATGACGTCATCTCTGTCAGAAGCCTTGCAGGCACATAGTGAATTCTGTGTACCATGGTGATGGAGTGATGATGTCATTGTTAGACCAGATAATTGACAGCTGATGCATAATGTTGAAATGACTCCTCCAGGCACAGAGAGTGAACTGAAGAGACATTGGTGAACTGAGGCAGGGAGAGGGCTGTGGAAGAATTAATCTTTTCTGTTGATCCTAATACTGTGTGACCACAGCCTCTGGCTGTGCATCTGGAGGCCTTGTAAACCCTGAGCATGTTGCTAGCCACTGGGCTCACACCTGGCCTTCTTTCTGGCTTACTGAATCCTTGGCAGGGAGACAGCATCGTTAGTCCTTGGAGTTCGGTGCCTTCCTGAAGCTCTGAAGATGATGATAATCTGAATGACTTCAAACCTAATTTTTACCCAGAAGGTACACCTTGAAGACTAGTAGTACTTCAAGTATGATTCTAAAAACCAAAATACGTTTGACATTGAGTTAGGACACCTGGAGAGTTAGGGCCACCATTAATGTCCCAAAGCCTAGTAATCACTAAGCACTTACCTTGATGTATACGTGGTACATACCAAGGAGATCCCTGGGCCTTGCTCACAGGCTGCTGACCTGAGGGGTAGCAAAGGACTTTAAAGTGTTGACTGAGCAAAATCATGATTATTTTACCTAATTAGCTAGAGACTTGTATTAATGAAAAATGAGAAGATTGCCTTTCAGTGGCACCTTCACATTCTGCTATTTTTAGGACTTGTAGTTAGGTGAACTCCTGCCCACAAGATGAGAAAATCTCTGGATTCTCTTATTCAAGTGGCTCTAGAACCCGAGAAGCCAGATCCAAAGGTAATCATGCCCCTTAGGAAACATGCACTTTGCTTTCTGGGGACTTGGTAGGATTGTACTTTGTGGCCTCCTAGTGGTCGGTTGGAAATGTGTGATTAGGCAGCTCAAGAAACTGTGAACCCAAGTAATGTGTCCTTTCTGGATGGGAACATTAAATTGCCTGTAAAAGATCCCATGAGACTTTCTTTTCTGCGCTGTGGTAACTAGCAACTTAAGATAGCAGTTCTATTAGCCTGCATACCTGAGTGACTATGGAGAGCACAGTTGAGCCCCAAAGGACACAAGAATCAAAGAGAAGTAATCTGTTTTGTCTCAAGGTATTGAGGTTTGGGGATTACTGGTTATTGCATCTTACCTAGCTTCTACTAGATCCTTCATTGTATTTCTAAATCATCTTAAATCTCCCTTTCTTTCTTCCCTTCCTCTGATGCATATTTAGAGCAGTGTAATTTTAGAGCTGAAAGAGAGCATAGAATTTAACTTAGTTTCATTCCTGGTTGTAAATTTGACCACCTAGTGCAAATTTTTTTCTTTCTCCCTGTAAAGAACAAGGTTCATAGAAGTATAGCACCCTTCCTTTTAACCCCTCCACACAATTCATTAAGAGGTTCCCTATTTGCCCAGGCCTCTCCACAGGTACCTCTCTGTGTAGTGTTTTGTTTAAAAAGCACACATTCCTAACAAGTCCCTTACCTGTTGAGGCTGCTCCTTTTCTTTTTGTGAGCATGCACCTGCTGAGTGAAAACACCAAAGCCCAGTACAGGGAACTCCAAGTCTATTCAAGACCAGTTACTGTGCTTGAAATAGGTCCCATCTCTGCAAGTCAGAGGTCCAAATCTCCACTCTGAGGACTGGAACCAACAGCAGCCTTCTTTTGGAATCCCTTTACAGGTCTGTCTAGCTTGGAGAGAATTTTACGGGTGTTTTAGTCAGCTTCTTTTTGCTGCTGTGAATAAAAGACCCGACAAGAACAATTTTAGAGGAGGAGAAGCTTATTTACAGGCTCATGGTTTCCGAGGTCTCAGTCCATGCACAGCGGGCTCCATTCCTCTGGGCCTAAGGTGAGGCAGAACATCATGGTGAAGAGTGTGGTGGAGGGAAGAGGCTCACAGGATGATCAGGAAGCAGAGAGAGACTCCACTCACCAGACAAAATCTATACCCCAAAGGCATGTCCCCAGGGACCCACTTCCTCCAGCCACACCCTACTGGCCTTCAGTTGCCAGTCAGTTAATCCCATTAGGGAGTTAATTCACTGATTGGGTTAAGATTCTCATAATTCAATCATAAACCTTCTTGCATTGTCTCACACATGAGCTTTTGAGGGACACCTCACATCCAAACTGTAACAATGGGAAAGCATACAATTGAGTTATAAGCTATTATATCACTTAAGGTTTGGTCCTGCATCTGCCTAGCAGTTTGCAATTAGTGGGAAATGCTGAGATGGTATATGTACAGGGGAAGAGTGTTGTGGGGAGAAGCACAGAGGACCCTGACAAGCAATCAGAGCATCTCAGTGTTCTCATCTCTGTAGAGGGGTAATCGTCCTTCTCTAGCATGCAAAGTTGTGGCAAGGCTTAGGTGAGATAATATTTGCAGAAACTCTTTGTAATGCCTCGTAACTCAATTAGCTAAACTTCAATAGTTTGTATTTCTTTTTTCTTGTCCATCTTCGTATCCCCAGACGCAGCACAGTGCTTAATCCATGTTGAAGGAGTGCATCAATAGCCGACCAGATGGCCTTGCTCGTGGGGGGAGTCTAGGTTTCTCCTTGATGTTATACATCTTGCAGAAGTCAGGACTCTGAGCTGGTCTCTTGTGTGATTTACACACCCTTTTAAGGAACCTTTCTAACGCTAGGCACCATGAGAGCTGATTTGAAATACATGTACCTTGGAGAGCAGTTGGCAAATCCCTGGCCCTGGGTACATGCCCTCTATAAGACGGCTCTCCCAGTTGTCTGTTGACTTCTCCATGGTCTTTCTATGTCTGCATTAACCTCTGAATGTGCTCGCATAGTTTGATCCACACCTATTTTTATTCTACAAAAAAGCCTCCTCCACTAATTATTTCTTGTGTTTAATAACCTTACTAAATATTCAGAGTGCCACAGGGAGAGGTCCCTTTGCACCCTGCACAGCATCTGTCCTCCCACTGGCTCTATTCTTCCTCTTCATTCTTTTTTCTTTCCTTTTTTCCTCTTTTAAATAACTTGAATGTTTCTCTTTTTCCTGAAGACCAATTCTGCCCAAACAGGGTTGCTCACCTTTTTCTCTTAATGCATTTGTGATGGTATTTTTTTTCCTAAACAAATGCAATTCCCATTCCTATTCAGGAACACCTAAAACCTAACTAAATTCACATGATGTCAATTGACATCAATATGATTTTATCTTGTGTTGTTAGACACAAACTTATTAAAATCATTTTGAATTTTGTCTGGCAACTTGTATTTCATCAACTGTTGGGGTCATTTCTATCTTTGGTGCATACAGAAGGAGCACAACTGATTAACGTGATAGTCCCTCTAGGGTATGAGATAGATATTGGAAAAGGCAGAGGAGGTCATGATTTTTCCAGTGGCTCCATCGTCTCATGTAGCATAGGCTTGAGAACCAGCTGGTCCTGACCTCAAAATGAGCTGGGTCCACATACAAGTCAGATAATTTGGAAAGTCATTTACTCTGAGTCTCAGTTTCTTGATGCACAACATGTAGAGTTAAATATTAGGATATACCATTGAATTGTTTATAACATCTAGTGACTTTTAGTATTTTATCAGCTGGCTTAGGTTACTAAACTTTGATAGAAGCTCAGCTTCAAGAGAAACCGATGCTTTTATGCTTTCTACTGGCCAGCAGCTACAAGTATAGAGATGTTTAACAAGAGAGCCCTTTTTATGTGTCATAGTTAAAGTCCATCTCCCAGAATAGGCAGCACACATGCATGGACATCTTAGTAGTAAAACACAAGTTTTAGATAGACACGTGGCATCCATGTAGGCAGAGCAGCCTGTCCTTGCAGTGGTTGGCCCTGCATGTGGTGGAGGAATTACCAGCTCCTCCGGTCCTCTGATGGATCCTCAGTGCTTCTGTGGAATTTTCCTCCAATAGCACAGCAGGCTGAGCTGCTTCCACCCTGTCTTTGCCCCTGTCTCCTTCACTGGGAATCAGGCTTGCACTGTGGTCTGATGGCTCTTCCAGCCTTTCCTACTTGGTTTCTATTTCCTCTCCCACAGGGACTTTCCTGAATGAAACCCTTGCGTGTTTGATCTCATTATGTCCTCTGACTTGGATGAAGTAGGATCTAACCCTAGAAGCCCTTTTCTTAGTTTCATTGATGTGCTCCCTGGTCATGTAGCAGAATGGACAAGAGAGCGAGTTCCGTGCAGCGGGGGCATACTCCACCTGTTGCAAACAGCCCCAAATGGCAGGTTGCAGTGGCCTCTTTCAGGATGAAAGTCGGGTTTCAAGGAAGAGGCTTCCTCTGGCTTAAGCTTTTGAAATCTTTATTATCTGAAATTATTGCTTGAAATTTTATTACTTATCAAGGTCCTAGTAGTTTATTTTAAAAATGTCTTCATTTTTCTGTATAGAACAAGTGTGACATGTTTGGCTTTCGATAGAGAAAATCAAGGAGTTATCTATCATACAGAGAAGGAGAGCTAGAAAAGGAAAGGTTAGAAAAGAACTCTTGCAAGAGGAGGTTTTGGAGGAGGTGGAAACATCTTTCCCAGGAGAAGAGCAAACTCTGTTAACTGTGGCACGAAGCGTCAGAGCTGAACTCAGGAGGAATTGGGTCTTGGGAGATGGAAACTACCAAGGACTGATCTCTGAAAAGCCCCTGTTGTTGCGACTGCAGCAGGGATTCGGACTCGGCAACTGTGGGTTACTGTGACATTTGTACTCGGACCCTGCACTGCTGTGAGCTCCCAGGTATTCTAAAGTAGGGGGTCTGCGGATCAGAGCTTGGAGTGAACTGCCCTAGGTGGTTTGACACATTCAGGATGTAGGGAGGCAGGAAGATGGGTGGAGTAGACCTTCCTCAGAGGCAAGAAAAACTAGTCATGTGTTTAAAAAGATAACTGGAATATCTGGAAAAATTTAAATGATTTCTAAAATTTTCAGAGCCTATATATTTGATCATACTTTTGTCCTAACGGAGCTATTTTTCCTCTTTCATTTAGCATCCACCTTGCAGGTGTCCTTCAGTGTCTTCCCCGGTAGAAGCAGGGTAAGGACCAGGGCTACTTCAGAGGAAATGAAGGAATGGGGCCAGGTGTGCAGGCCAGTCGGGACCAAGCCTTTCGTATTGTAAGGTAGGAGCTGGAGACTTTTCCTGAGAGGGTCAGACGGTAAATGTTTCAGGCTTTTTGGGGCCACACGTTTTCTACACAAGGACTCCACTCTGCCATTGAAGCCCCAAAGCAGCCACAGACAATAACTGAATAGGTGGGCCGTGCACCAGTGAAACCGCGTGCCAACCCAGGTGGTGGGCTGGGGGGCCCAGCGCGGCAGTTGCTGACCTTTGCTATTAAGGCGTATTTGCCTTTAATAATCGGCAAAGGAATCTGTTTTTAATCCAGAGCTACATATATACACCATTTGTGATTAAAAAAAGGAATTTGCTCATGAGAGCCATGAAAAAAATTGGGTGTCAATGCTGGTGTGATTTCAATGAATGTGAAGGAAAGTTTCCGCTGATGGAGGCCCCTTCACGTGGTTGCAGGCCCTTCAGAGAGAAACACAGGCCAAAATCAAGAACAGTGTCCACCAAGTTCTGGAGAAATAAAGAGAAGAGATCTGCCCGAGTCTTCAACACGTCTGCCCTTTGCCCTCTCGTGGTCTGGGCTCATGGCTCTGCTTATCTGCCAAAGCGCAGTTCATGAAAGAGCCGCTAGAGCCAAGGTTCCCTGGCTCAATGTTTGCCATGTTGCTCAATGTTCATTAACCCTGAACTGACTGTGTGTCTTTTGGCTTCAGTTCCAAGGAAATGTCTGTCTCCCCAAACTAACGGATGGCTTCCTCTTATCGGGTGCCAAGGGTTCTGAGCCATTCAGCATGTTGTCTTGGTGACCTGTGAGGTCAGCGCCAGGCCCAAGGCTCAGCCATCACCAAGCTTTCCATCCACCTGTGAGATGCACCTTTCCTTCTCTTCACTGATTCCTACTTTTTCATAGGATCCTTTACAGTAAATTCCTTTAGATGCCTTTTAAAAATTTGTTCTTTTAAAATATACTCGAATGCTTTCTTGATTTACCTGAAACATAAACTAAACATTGTAAATAAAATTAATCTGATCATATCTGCAAGGGGAGAGTACTGTTGCCCATGAAGAGGTCCCCCAAACTAACATGGATAGTATAATAAACAGCATTAAATATTGATAAGTCCTTCATCATATTTTTGTAAAAAAACATATTCTGAACTGAGAACAGGAACTTCAGTTGAAAGTCCAACAAACCTGGGCTGCGATTTGAGCTCCATCTCAAGCCCAGCTGTGTGGTCTTGGGCAGGTTTTATAACTGCTCTGAGTCTTAGTTTTATCATCTGTAAGTGCGTAGAATAGCTATTCCTACCTTGAATTGTGGTGAGAGTTAAATAAAGCAATACATAAGCTGTGCACACAGCACAGTTTCTGGTCTGTGGGAAATACTCTAGCTAGCTGTCATGGTGTGTTCTTTTTTGAACATTTTTGCAGCAGTTTTGCTGTCAAATGCAAGTGATGGGCTGTTGGTTTAGCTTTCCATTTGACGCTCAAGGTCTCTCTGAGCATCGGGTGCTTTTCTGTCTGTCCTCTCATTGTTTCCTCCAGCGTTTTTGAGCACGACCTAGTATCTGAGAACTTTGGTACCAAAAAGAGCCCGCGTAGGAACACGGTCAAGGGCGCTGTGCAGGAGCTGTAAGTGTTGACCACAGTTTACGTTTCTCAGTTATTTAAGCCAGTGAGCTGCTTTCCGCTTGCGTAATTTCTACCATTTCCTCCCCAAGGCTCGTGACTCTAACTTCCTGGGGATCAGTGGTATTTTATGGTACTTTTTGGAGCCTGGTGAACTTGAGGAGAAGGTGGAATGGGAAAGAGATTTCATGCCACGATCTTGTTTTATGTATAGACCCAATTCTCCTAATTCCCCACAGTTGCCCCACTAACTTGTTCCTCCTGACTCTAACATTTAGAATATGATGATATTTCCTTCTAGTCTTGGTTTCCTTTAAGAGGCACTGACTGACAAGATGATAGAGCCACAAACCTGGGCTGTGATTTGAGCTCCATCTCAAGCCCTGCCGTGTGGTCTTGGGCACAGATCAGAACCACTAAATGTGGAAAAACAGGGCCGCGAGGATGGCCAGAAGCCCCATCACGGTCAGCAGGAGGGAGGCAGGGAGAGGGGGTGAGGCCTTCAGAGACCGGGTCTTCAGGGGCTTCAGGATCCTTTGCTTCTGGGTGAGGATGGCCCTCCTGGCTCCTTCCCACTGCCCAGGCCCAGTCAGGCGGTACTGGTAGGAGTTGCAGGGCCCGAAATAGAGTTTCAGCGCCAGCTTGGGGTCTCGGAAGAAAAGGGAGACCAAGTCTGGCTTCGCACCTATCTCTGAGGCCAGCTCGTCCAGGTAGTCGACGTAATTGGTCTGCAGTAGCTGGCTCTGGCTGGTTCCAAACCTTAAGGAAGAAGGGGAAAAGGACAGATCCACATGAGTTCCAGGTCACATGGGAATACACGGCATCCACTAGCTGCTGAAAGGATGGAGGGTGAGTGGAGGATGCATGTGCTTTGAATGAGTCTGGGTGGAAAGTGGGAGTTTATCCTGGGAGGAAACCCTTAGCTCAGACGGACAGTAGGCCATAACTCAATAATCCAGAATCCCCAGGGACTGGGGAAGCTGACGAGGGTGACTGGGACTCTCATTTAGTGTTTTTTGAGCAGTTGTGAGTCTCCAGGCAAGGACATACCAGTCAGGGTTGCTGCAGAGTCATGTAGGACACATGCAAAAGCCAAGACGCTTGATATTTGCTTGTTAAGTTACTAATGTACCCAGAAGTCTGGCTGGCATGTAGTAGATGCTCAATAAATGTTAGATAAGAAGATAACCCCTTAAATCAGACATAAGACCCCCGAGACAACTTTCCCAGGATACTCCATCACTGTCGAATCCCATTCCATCTCAACAAAAATGACTAATCCTTGGTTCGTCACACCAAAATCCTTTCCGGATTTATTTTGATGGGTACCCCCAACTAACCTTCAGGAGATCTTCAGGCTACTGTCACACCACTGCCCCATCTCATTCCCTCTCTAACTGGGGTGTGGTGGCCTGAGAAGATCTGGAATCTCACATGTTCGTCATATAAAACTGAAACAAAATTACTCTAAGGAAAATGTTCTGATTTGGCAAAATTTCTAAGTAATTGGTTCTCAAAGTAGTATGTCCTACAAAACTGCAAATTCCCAGTCTCATCCGCAGAGCTTCTGATCTGGCTGGACTGGGTTGCAACCCAGCAATATGCACTTTTCTCAGCTAGGTGGCTTTTGTAGGTGGTCAGATCGCCATACTTTGAGAAACACTGGCCTGCATAAACATTTTTTAAACACATGCTTACAGGTCAATTCTTCTTTCATTCCTTGTGACGATGTCCTCCATCATGGCCTTCTCTGTGGGCAAGCTGCACAAGCCTAGAAAACAGAAGTTTGGTTTGAGTCATGGGCACGATCCGGCATCCTCGCTCTGTCTAGCAGTTGGTTCAAAAATCCGCTTCGGGCCATTTCATCAACCAGACAGGGCTGCTGTGTAGCCGAACCCAGGGGCGGGGCTGCTGGGGCCTTCTGTGTGATGCTCTCCTGCCGCACAGTCAGCGTGGACCAAGGGCCAGAGGCTCTGAGAAGAGATGGGGACGGTAAGCCCGTCTGAGGAGCTGGAACCCGGCCGAGGGGCATGGGCTCTGTTCTGGGGGAGAGAGGACCCTGGGACCACGTCAGACCTGCCTTTGGAAAGATCCATCTGGTGCCGTGTTGGGGGAAAAGGCTGAAGGGAGGTGAGCCTACAGGTTGAGAGACCAGGAAACGGCCATCAAACCCAGGCTGGTGAGAGATGAGAGTGGCCCCCACTAGTGAAGGGCAGTGGGCAGGGAAGGTAGATCAGGGCAGGACTCCTCACTGTGGGCTTGTGATTCCACCCCCCGTCCACAGGTGTCCTCTGAGCTCCACAGGTACTGAGAAACGGTCAAGTCCCTGCTCGTGGCCAGCCCTCTGACCCTCAGGTTCCGGAAGTCAGAACTGAGCTCGTTCTTGAAGCCCCCCTGTCCAGACTCGCATCCTCTCTGGCTGTCCGTCTGTTCCCAGCACTCTGTCCACCCAGGTTCCAGGGCTGGATTCTGCAAGCCCGCCTTGGTTCCTTCTCTCCCCCTGTTGAACCACCCTTCATCCTGCTGGTTTTGTCCTGAGTGATTTCGCACATTCCTGTCCTCCTCTCTGCTTTGTGCTCTGGCCCAGGCACATTGTGTATCAGCAGAGAGGATGGCAGGGGCCTTCTTGCTGGGCTCGGAGGCCCCATTCTCCCCCCTTTCTTTTCTCTATTCTGCACCTCTGCTGGAATAATCTACCTTAAGTACAAATCTGCTGATGCCTGTTCCTTGCTTATACCTCTCCACTTGTCTCTGGCTGAAGAGCTTTCTAAGGCTTAATCGCAGGCCACACTTAATCAGTAAGGGTCCAGAAGTGTCCACCAGACAATTTTAGGTGCAGCCAGATTTGGGAAGAACCAATTTACACGTTGCAATCCAGGACCCTCCGCATGGTGCAGTTTTGCTTCCTGTCCCGTCACCTTCCCCAAGGTTGCTCCCATGCCTCTCCACCTCACCCCCGTGCTCTGGGAATGCCGAGGAGCTGGCAGCTCGCCAGGTGCATGGACCTTTGTGCGTTCTCAGGGGGTTCCTTTTCTGCCCTAGAACAGCAGCCACCCAGGAAGTTGTCCTCGGCCGGATGCCCTCCCTTGTCCCACGCCATAGCTCTTGTGTGTTCCTACACCGAGGCATTTGCTGTGCAGTGTTAGAAGGATTTGTTTAGGTTTCTCTCTGTGCCCCCAGGTCCCAGCACAGGTGTCCAGTGAGTTTTCTGTTGCAGAGTTGAACCCCAGAGGCGGGGGGAATCACCTTCCGAGGAGGGTGAGAGTTGCCCCCGTGCCCGGGAGAAGCCTTTAGTGGGCACCTCTGCAGGGCTGTAGGAGGGCAAGCTGCCCACTCACCTTTGAAAACGCGTGTCGCCCAGCGTGCCTGCAGCTCAACGGTCGGGAAGATGGACCCCAGGGGCTGGATGAGACCCATACACGCGAGGGTGGCCTTCTCCAGCTGCGGGGGAAACATGTGTTTATACAGCGAGACCCTGCTGTCCTCCACCTTGACGAGGGACTCTTCCAGGAAGGGGAAAGCGAAGGTGTATCCTGTGGCGAAGACAATGACATCGATGTCCTCTTCTACCGTCTCATCCTCAAAAATGGCAGCGGTCTCGGTGAGCCCCGTCACCCTGGGTTTCACCTTGACAGCTCCGTAGAGTATGCGGCTCGGGAGGTCATCATTGAGGATGGGTTCCTTCAGGAGGTACCTGGGACACACAGAGAAAACACTCAGGACGACCTTTCACGGAGCCACCTTGGGCCCCCTGGGCATTTGGGGTGGTAGCTCTGAAAACAAAGGGGTTTCTCAGGTATCCTCGACTCTAACCTGACTTCATTCTCAGTCCCCAGATCCCTCCCTTCAATAAAGAAAGGACAGCATGTAGGTGAAGGGAGTAAAAGAGAAGGCCCCCTCCCCGGGGCTTAGACACAGCCAGCACTCGGTCAATCCCGGGAGGGCTGGGCACCATGTCCAATCGGTGCTTCTGAGTTTTTTGTTATCAGCTTCATTTTGCCTTTTCATTTAATTCCCACCTGATCAGAAGAAAGGAAGAGAAAACTTCACTTGATTAGTAATGAAACCTGCTGGGGGATCCGTGTGAGAGTCAACATGTAAGATAGGTCTGGGGACATCGGTTGATCCTGAGTATCCATGGACTCTCTTTGTGGTAACGGGATGGTGGACTGAACTATTTCTGGAGTTCTATTTTTTTCTTTATGTAGATCTGAGAACCATTTCCTTTTTTAAAGTGCGACAGCACATGCACTTGTGTCAGGCCTCAGTACAGCAGTTGCCTGGAGTTTATTAAGATCTAAAGATCTATTTTTTTTTTTTAATGGAAGGAGTCTCTTATCCACGAAAGAAAAATAAACACCCATAATGTTTGCTTGTGCTTACGATATCAATGATGTATATATTTGAGATCGACTAATATTTGTCTTTTAGTAAAGAGAAAGGAATCTGTCCTCTAAAGCTACCGGTGGGAGAGCCCTTGGGGTGCACCACCCTGGCCGAGCTACTCAGATGGGGAGCTATGTGCTTCCTACCTCGTCCCTTGAAAAAAAGGCTGGGGTCTCTAGAAGTAGCCTTCTCCAGTGGGGTCAGCTCTGGTGCTAGAAAGTTCTTCCCATAAGCCCCAATTCTGCTTTTGGAGCAGCGTCTGACACGCCTACGTAATCTTCTGAAATATGTTTTTTAAGATACAGGGAACAAGATTGGCATTCTCACTGCAGAACCCGTATGCTGCACGTACTGTTAGGTTGTGGCTCAGACGTCCTACCCTGTTAGCAACATGGATCTTTGTAAAGAGCGTCATCTTCAGACAACCTAGCTTACCGATGCACCAAATCATAGAAAAGCAAAATGACTCTACTTGTTTTCAGGCTGAAGACCATAATTTTCGTGGTTAAACCACCGATTCATCTGTTGCTCCAACATCCATTTGACAATGGCCCGTGGCAGAACGTTCCGGAGCATGGAGCTGAATCTAGTGTGGAACACAGAGTCCCAAGGATAACCATCTTCAGAGATCCGGCTCAAGACCCAGGAGCCTTTTCTGGTGCTGATAAATACCTGGGAAATAAAAGGAGTGCAGTGTAAATGGAACACGGTACAGAGCACTGTTCCCCCGGGAGGAGTCTACTGGGTGGGTGATCTAATGCGTATGGCCCCAGAATTCCCTGGGAATCTCTCATGAAGATCAAGTCTGTTGTGAGGGGACATGGCCTCAAAGTGACGTCCTTCTAGCTTCACTGTCAGCTTTATCATCAATGGGGGACCAGTGGCTTCGACGCCCCCTGAGGACTGCGTGGACCCGTGAGAATATCTCTGGGTAATACCAGAGGTCAGGTCCACCATCTCTGCTGTGTCTACAGAGTGATTTTCTGCTCCCAGGAGATCCACGTGCCTTGCCCACCCTCCCCCATTTCTTTCACGGTCCAGGTGAATATTTACAACCCTTGGAAATGTGTGGCCACAGCCTGATGACAGCACAGGCTAAAGCGGGGTCTGCACCCCCCGGAGGCAGCGCAGTGAGGGGAACTGCCTTCCACGCTGGGTTTTGAAGGTCGAAAACTCTGAACCGACGCTGCGGTTCTGTTTCTCTTCAAGTACAGCCCTGGGTTCCCTTTCAGATGTACTCTTTACCTTGTGTACTAGGGTTTCCCTTGTTTTCAGAACGTGTACTTAAATCTCTTTTCAAATATAAGTGTTTTCCTTGCTCTCCCAATCTCCAAGTGCACGTTAGAACTGCTTGTCTCAGATTTTCACTTGTCCTTTTGAGTTCTATGGTTTAAGGCTGTCCTTGATAAATGATTCACTTAAGAAGTTAAGACCATGCACTCTGGATCCAGACTACCTAGATATGAATCCCAGACCCACTGCTTAGTCAGTTGTGTAGTCCTGAGTGAGTTATTTCAACCTCTCTGTGCCTCCATGTCTCTCTCTCTAAAACGGGGGTATCATTCAGATTAAACGAGGTGCTACGTGTTAAGTACTTCAGGTACTGCCTGGCAAGCCGTGAGCTCTGCTGGCTGTTCCCATTTTGTAAATTCAGGCTGGAGGGGCTGGTTTCCTACAATGACTCACATCTGGACTGAGCTTGAATTTGGAGATACAGTTTGCGGCAAGGGCCTCAATCCTTAGGCTGTGGGAGCACCCCCACAAAACACTGTTGGTCTGTTGGTCTCTGGGTGGTCCCAGCTTCAGTCTTGCCCCTAGGCTGACTTGGCAGGACTTTCGTTAGGTCCTAGACACTGTCCTTCAGTGTTTCCTTCACTTACCACCCCAGTTCTCTCTTTGGGTTGGTCCCTGATTCATACTGGATGTCCTGCCTGTTCTCTTTGCTCCTTCCTGCTGAGATCCTACCTACTGCTTGGGGTTGGAGCTGGCCGGCCCCACCACTCCTGAAGCACATGCAGTTGGGGTGTGTTGGGAGCCGCAGCCAAAGGGGCCCCAGCAAACTTCCAGCTGCCAGCAAACTTCCAGCTGCCGGCTGATGATTGGCTCACAGCGGCCCCAGCAACATCTAGCTGATTGGCTCCTCTGCGGTGATGTTCATTGGGCTGTTTCCCTGCCCTTCAGACTGCCAGCTGATGATTGGCTCACAGCGGCCCCAGCAACATCTAGCTGATTGGCTCCTCTGCGGTGATGTTCATTGGGCTGTTTCCCTGCCCTTCAGACTGCCAGCTGATGATTGGCTCACAGCGGCCCCAGCAACATCTAGCTGATTGGCTCCTCTGCGGTGATGTTCATTGGGCTGTTTCCCTGCCCTTCAGACTGCCAGCTGATGATTGGCTCACAGCGGCCCCAGCAACATCTAGCTGATTGGCTCCTCCATGGAGCTGCTCATTGGGGGGGCGCCCTTGGCTCCGCCCATGCAACCCAGCCAATCGGCCTCAAGAGCAGGAGGATTGTGGGAGGTTGGGAGGCTGGGGTGGGGGTGAGAGGCTTGTGGAAGCCGGTGGTGGCAGTTGGGCTCTGAGGGTTTTTTCCTGAGGAGCTGTTTTGTTTGGCGTTTGTAGTTCTAAAAATAAAGTTAGTTTCTTTTGACAAGTGGCTCCTGAATTGTGCCCAGCCAGACTGCGGCAGGGGTCCGGCCCAGGCTGATCCCTCTGAGATGGGCTTCAGGATGGAGGGCAGGATTTTGGAGTTTAGAGGGAATGCATGGATGACCAGCCCCATCCCACAGTGTCCTGAGTGGGGCTTCTGGGCTCTGGCCGTGGGGCTGGATCCTGTGAACGTGACCTTCTTTTAACAGAGCAGGGCTCCCTCAGGATCTTGGTCATTCAGCTGTAATTTAAGTTCTGCAGTTGCACCCAGGTCTGTCTCTGGTGTGCACAGCTCTCGTAAGACCTCTGGTAAGTCTTCTCCCAGGAGATTTGAGAAGGCATTATTCTGAATAGAGATTTTGTAAGTACAGATTTATGTGATTAATTAGTATTGAGGAGGCTGGGGAAAGAAGAATGAGCTATTAAGCTCACAAATATGGCCAAGGTGGTTTCTTAATATTGAATCTGGCATCACAAGCAGGCCTTGTGCATGGCATGACCCCTGTGAAGGACTGGCTCTTGCAGTCCAGGACTTGGTATCTTTGGAGCATCCATCCTAAACCCAAAGCCCTGTCCTGATGCCCTACAGTGATCGAGGGTGGATTTTGCTTGATGGATGGCAATGTCAGCTCAGCTGTCTTCATCTCACCCAGTCACATGCCCTTCCCCCTGCCGTATAGGTGTCCCCAGTACGAGGGCATCGGGCAGGTGACCCCACACCCTTGCTGTGCTTGAGCTTTGATAGTTACTGCCTTCACACTTGTTCTTTATACCGAGGTCTTAAAGCTTTGAAAAGTGAAAGCTAATTTCTTTTCACACTTGGTTCTAATAAGTCCTTTTCTGGTTTTAGCAACCTGCTGTGTCCCTAGGTTGGCACTGATAATTCTGAGTGACAAGTGACTCTGAAAGGTCCCGTGTAACCCTTTCATTAACCTTCTGGGGAAACACCATGTGTATTTATCACATTTGCTACTGGGCATCTCAATGGCTCAATGTATAAGACTCAGGACAGGAAAGTTTTACAGGACAAAAGACAAGGCTGAGGCTGCCTGTGCAGCCAGAGACAGCAGCAGAGGAGCCCACGGTAGGGTGACTGGGCTCTGGCTCCAGGCCCTGTCAGGAGTGGACACTGGAGGGAGAACCCTTAGTTGTCCTCATCTTTGCCTGGGTCTGTCCTCTAGAAGGGATTTATTTTCTGCCATTTATTTAAATATGCCATCTGTTGACCCTATCCACTTCTGGTAATACTTGACTGGTGGTCGGCTGGCGTCCTTCCTGAGTGTGCGGGAGTTTTGGAGAGCACATGAACAGCTCCCATCCCAGGTGGGTGGCTGGCTGTCTATTCGCTCTTTCTTTCCTGGTATTTGTGCAACTGAGCATTATCTATATTTCAAATACCCTGAATTTCTAAAAGGCAGTCCCCAAAATATGAACAGGTCAGCTTCTCAGTAAGTCCCCTTGGGAGAAACTAGGTCTCTTATACTGAAAATCATCTAGTGGAAATTTCTCCTTTTACAAATGAGGGAGCCACAGCCCAGAAGTGACATGATCCCCTCTAGGACTCATGGCTGGTAGGGGCAGAGCGAAGAGGTACCATACTGGGCAACCCAACCAACTGGCGAGTAATGACTGATTTTGCAGCTGGGATGTGCCAGTTTGCCTGTCCCCCCTCTTCTCCCCAGGGTACCAGGTCAGCAGAGAGCATCGCACCTGCGCAGCCTCCTTGCTCAGCTCAACAGCAATGTCCGAGGCCGAGTTTCCGATTCCAATCACCAGGATGCGTTTGCCCTCAAATCCAACTGGGCGCTTGTATTGCCGGCTATGGAAATACTGGCCTTGGAACCTCTCGATACCTTCAGGGGGAAGAGGAGAGAAGGCTGTGAATGTCCAAGGGTGCAAGGGTGTCAGGCTAATTCCAGTGGAATGGCATTGTTGGTTTGCCTTTTTGGGGTCAGTCACTCATTTTCCTTTATCCCCTCTCACAGGAGTTACAGCACAGGTCAGCTGGGAAACTCAGAGTGGAGATCAGGAAAGTACAGGGAGAGGTTGAAACAAGAGGCTGCAGCACATGTATTTACCAGACAAAAAATGTGTTTGATGAACAGAGCAAGTGAGGTGCTGGCTTCTGACGACCCATGATTTGATTCTGGACTCTCTAGGGACACTTCTGTATCATACGGCAGATATTCTTTTAAATATATTTTAAACACATTATGAAATGATATTATTATAATTGTATAATAATTAGAATACATTTATTATTCTAATTTTGCAAATGCAAATGAAAACTAAAATAAGCCCAAACCCAGGCCTATAGAAGGAATGCACTGAGTAAGTCGGTAACCTGTTGGTGGTTGATTGCAGATAAGCATCTCCGTGTGCTTTCCTGGTCACCCGGGTCACTCTTCCCAGGAACACATGACTTTATTGAAGTACTTGTCTTTGGTTGTGTTGTTACTTGCAAGAACCATTATACCTTGTTTCTTAAAATGGGGGCCGTGGCCAGCAATGTCAGGATCCCCTGGGAACTTATTAGAACTGCAGATTCTTAGCTTCCTGCCAGGTATATGGGATCAGAAATCCTAGGGTGTGTTTCTCAGTCTGCCAGGTGATTCTGTTTGGGTTCCATTGCTTTGGACAGGAGGGCCCAAGCGTGATGGCCTGTTAAGTGCCCTGAACAAGCCTGCCACAGCCCCGGAGTCTGAGGGGGCAGGAGGAGCACTGCATTCCAGGTCTTCCTGCAAGGGAGGGCTGGGGCAGCCTCAGGACAGACCGTGGCAGTGCCCCTCTCCTGCCCTCCTCCCCGTCACAGTGCTGTGGCAGCACCGAGTCCCAGGCCCTCCCTCTGGACTGCTGACTGGGCATGGCTCTGAGGCTTGGGCTCCAGAGATCCAACAGACTCCTCTGCGCTGGGCAGGCACAGGGCTAACAGGGCCTCTTCTGCGCAGAGCCAGTGTGTGTGAGAATTCTCTGGAAAGCCTTGTGACTTTAAAGGACATCCGTGTGATGAAGACCCAAAGAGGTTGATACATGGATGGTGTTTGGAGTCTCATCTTTCCAGCTCCATCCCAGTCTTCCACTCCCCCAGCCCTGGCAGCACTCCAGGACACCTGCTCCCCACTTCGAATCCCCTGGCCTCACCTGGAAAGGACTGCAGGGGCATGTGGGGCAGGATGTGATGGCCACTGCAAACCATGACTGCATCAAAAGTGGCGCTCTGCTCTTTGCCGGCGCTCTGGGTGACAACCTCCCACTGGCCAGAGGATGAGAAATCTGGGCGTCTTTTCACATGGAGGACGGTCGTCTGGAGCAAACACAGAAGGCGTCATTTGAGAAAGGCTCAGGCTTGGCGTGGGCTTCCCGGGGCCTGGGAGTGGGGGTGGGTGGAGTGTGATGCAGAACCCCCATTAGTTCTCCTCCAAGCGCCCGTCCCTGCAGGCCCATGAGGCGAAGAGTGCCAAGTGTGCCCCTCCCATTCTCCGACAGGCAGCACCAGGGATGTGCTGCTCTGCACACCAGGCCTGACTCTGCAGTGGGGACCCTGTCCTGAGGGAGGACTTGAGGGAGAAAAGAGAAGGAAGGCAAGTCTGCTCATGCCATTCAAGTGCCCCACAGCGAGCATTTGTCAAGACACTCTTAGGGTGCCCCTGTGTGGGGACTCTGGGGGAACAGAGTTTCTCACGTGGAGCACTCAGCAGAGAGCTTGGCAGGTTGTCAGCCCTCCTTTGAGTGGCATTGTTAATGTTCATCATTGTTGAGAGTATGACCTGTTAGCTGTGCAGCTCAGGATGTCATCTGCTTGAAATAATTTATTGCTTCACGAATTGTTTTTAACAAGCCCATTGTCTGGAAGTCTAGTAGTTTAAAAAAGTGTTCCTAAGTGTTTCATGCCGGAGGTATTTAAGAAACCAATGGAAGCAGAGCTTGCCACACGTCTAGAGGAATGACATGCTGTAACTCTGGATTTCAGGTATCTGAGTCTCCTCTGTACATACTATGACTTGGGTAAGTGTCCCCCAGAGGCCCACTCACCAAGGGCTCGGTCTCCAGCCCACGGCACTGTGGGGAGGTGGTGGACCATTTAAGAGGTGGGGCCTAGCAAGAGGAAGTCTGGACACTGTGGGTGTACCCTAGAAGGGGACACTGGGCTCAGTCCCTTCTTGTCTCTGTACCCAGATGCCATGACATTGGCAGCCTTGCTCCACTGTGGGTTCCCCTCCACAGCTACTGCCTCCCTACATGCCCAAGGCAGTGGGCCAGTTGAACATCACTGAGACTTCCAAAACCACGAGCCAAAATAAACCTTTCCTTCTCTGAAGCTGATTAGCACAATATTGTTTTTTAAAAAATTAGACATTTTTCAAAATACCAGTTTGGTGACTTTTAAAGCTGTCTCAATTTAAAAATGGGTAGGTGACATGGATGGAAAACATGTGAAAGAGATTCACAATAGGTGGGTAGACAGCAGCTGAGAGAAGCTCTCAGATTTGTAGCTCAGAGTTGCCCATTAACCAAGCACTGTGAGTCCTTGCTATTCCAGGTGTGATATGAGGACCAGGGCCTTTAGGTCACCCAGGAGCCTGAAGGACGTGCAGACTCTGAGTTGTCATTGGAAGCCTGTTTAACCAGAGTCTGCACTTGAACAAGCTCTCTGCGTGGTTTCATCTGCAGTTGAGAAGCTGGTGCAGGTTACATTGCCACTCAGTAGAGCCTTGCACAGTTCACCTACTTCTTCTATTTTTATTTTTAATTTTTTTTTGGTACCAGGGACGCTTTACCACTGGGTTATATCCCCCATCCATATATATATGCAGATGGACACAGTACCCTTATTTGTTTTGTTTATTTTTATGTGGTACTGAGGATCGAACCCAGTGCCTCACAAGTGCAAGGCAAGCGCTCTAAGGCTGAGCCTCAATCCCAGCCCTCCCAATCCTTTTATTTATTTATTTTTTAAATTTTGAAACCAGATCTTGCTAATTTCCTGAGGCTGGCTTGAAACTTGTAAGCATCCTGAGTTGCTGGGATTACTGTTGTGCACCTCTGCACCTGGCCTTTTTTTTTTTTTTTTTAAATGAGGTGACATTCACTTTATTAATTCTTGATGCAGCATAGACTACAATGTGAATAAACATCAGTGAAAGGCAAGATGGTTTTCATGCAGCATTTGTTTTCCTATCTCTGAACTGTCAGCCCTAGTATCTACTGTTTCTTGAATCAAGTCCTAACATCTATGACTTAATCAGGGCAGAGACCAGTAAACGGAAATCCCCACCCTCCAGAAAACAATGGCAGCAGTAACATAATAAACAGGAGAAACAGCTCCCTTGTAACTTTAACATGATCTTTAGAAGAACAGAGAGTATAAACTGCATTTTACAGGAGGGCTGTAGGTTTGTTACCTAGATTGATAGCTAGATGGACAAAGACCTACCATTAAGCTTCTGTTTTAAAGAACCAGCCATTCACAAGATAAAAGTACCAGGAATCGGGATAAACTATATTAGGTAAAACTGCACATTTTAACAGTGTTTACAAATATAGACTTCCATAAAAATTAATAATTAAAAACTAATATGATACAAGCCTGGTACATGTAAAAGTAGAATTACTAAGAAAATGAGATGTATCAAAACAAATATGCCTAACAGTATTTATCTGAAATATAATTTAAAATTCATTTTCAATAATTTAAAATTCATTTTCTATAGAGTTACTAGTCCTCAGAGAATATGTTAATGATAACAAGGCAGTGTGTGGAATGACAATGTTTGGTTATTGTTGTTGATTATTTGTTTTTGAGAAAGCAAAGGAAAAGATGATTCCAAATGTATTTCAAAATGATCTGCCATCTGTGTGTTGCTGGAGGTTGTGAAATTAGCAGGGATAGTTCCCACAGGCTTCTGAGGTGAAGGGAGAGTACCAAGTTTATTTAACACATATCAAGAAATCCCATTATAGAGATGTTTAAAAAAGTAATCTGATTTTCTTCAGATATCCTCTCAAGGAAAATAAGCTAGGGACATCAATGGTAATGGATATAGTTTAAATGCAGTTTTACCATTAATATTATCATCATTAAATGTTCAATTTTAACAGTTGATTTTCTTCTATTAATGTAAACGATCTACAAGACCAGGCAGGAGCAATCACACTGTTTGGGGGGATTAGTATCATGCTCTAACCTTTTAACAAAGAGAGTTTATTCACAACTTCTTCTATCATCAGGATAACTTTTTTATTTAAAAGTGAACTGAACTAACGTAGAGAAACTTATTTCCCCCCAAAATACAGTACCTGGAATTGGATGTATTTTAGAAGATCAAACTTTTTGGCAAAAATCCTGAAATATTCCAGAAGTTTGGAATTGTGTAGGAAGTTTGGGAAATCTTCAGGCATAGGAAAGTCACTGAAACAGGACATTTCCTTGCTGGTGTTGGTGATGACGGATCGGTAGATACTTGCTCGGCCATCTTCTACATTTTCCTGAAGGAGGGAGTGAAATAATTAGGGGTGGTCATGTACTGGAACAATCCCTTGGTTTCCCACCTTCCTCACACTCCTGTGCCAAGTGACTCTGTAATGTGCAACAAGAATAGAATGCATGGATGGAGAGGTGCAGTGCATTCCTGTGCTGGGACCTGTGTGCGTTTGCCAGCTTTGCTGAATGGGATGCTGTTGATGGGTGTGGCAGGGACCATTTATTTGGCACATTGCAGGATATTTAGTGTCCCAAGTCTCTACCTATTTAATGTCATCTTCTGGGAACCAGTTAACTGCTTAAATTTGCCCTCAAGAGGCTTCACACACCCCTTCCCTCTTTAGGGACCACGACACACTGGGACATTGGACAGAGAACAAGACAGAGAGTTTGAAGTAAAATGAGTACATTTGAGAGTGGGGAGTTTTCACATCTGGCTTTGTGTCTGCCTGCCTGCCTTCACTTTGTGCTTTATGCAACTTTCCCTTCCTCCAGTGATAAAGGTGAGGAGCGCGCTGACACCGATCCAACCTTAAACCTGATTTCTGATGTCAGCAAATGTGCTTTGGCAAAACCTGAAGCAGCCATATGGTTGAGTCTGATTTCTCCTACAAATAGTGCTCTGCAGAATGCCCTGCATGGGGAATCTGAAAAGACCTGAGTATGGTGATTCAAAGTCTGTGAAATCAGTGTGTGGTCAAAGAGGCTTTATTAGGAAATTTAAATGATGCTACCCAAGAACAGCCCAATATGTGTTCTGAGGATGCACACACTGAGGCATAACGCAGAGCAATAGCACGCGCTGACTCGGTTCAGCATCAAGGCCGGTATGAAGACACGGAAAGCCTGTAGGAATTCACCAACCGAAAGAAGTGACAGACTTCCTGAGACAGCCCCAAAGGGTCTTCCACAGCGTGTGACAAAGGAAAGCCAAGATTCACCTCTAGTCCAGCTCTACCCTAGATCAGTTGTGCATGTTCTTTCCTCATCCTTGTTCTCACAGAACATTTCTTTCCTGCCTGATCTTTAGGTGGAGGTTAGTGTGGACTAGCAGAAGGGCGTTGGTCTCTAGAGTTAGATGCGAGTTTGAATTCACCTCCTTCAGACTGTTTTGAGTCGGGACCAGTGAGTGCCCCGAGTTCCAGCCCCCTCTTGTGTGCACAGGGCTGCAGCAGTGCACAGCAGCGGTGGCCATCCTTAGTGAGGAAGCCAAAGCTTAGACAGCTGTCAGTCAAGGCTCACTGCTCACCGCAGCACAGAAGTCCACCAGGGTCGCTGCCCTGACGGGTACCAATAACTGCACGGGTGCATTCGCGTCACCAACCTGAGATTTCTAGTATTTTCTGTTCAGAGGTTAAACTTGATCTCAAAGAGTTCAAAAGAGTACACTTAAGGGGTCTTGTCTCCTAAGTGAAAAGCTCCCTCTGTGTCCTGGACTTCACTGTGTCCTAATTTCAGGGGTTAGCAGCACCAATATGGGTGCCAAAGCTAAATGATGTAGGATCCTTGCTAAATAGAGGCTGTTCCTAAATGTCTTCTGCCCTCCTTCCTCTCTCGTCTTCTCACCCACTCATGATCATTCCACCCCTCTTACTTACTGTAGGTCTTTTTTCATGGGTGTGTATTTAATTTTCCTGGACAGAATCAAAACTTGGACCATGCCTGTCACGATTGCACATGGCTTGGGAACAGCTAGTCAGGGCAGGCCAGTTTCCTGGGAGGTCAGTGTTGACTGTGATATTATTGCTAACTGTAAGCAAGTATTAGAATCCTAAGGGGGTTTGCCATAGAATATGGAGGGGCTTCTGCCTGATGCAGGGATACAATGATCTAAACTGGATAAATAAACAATGATATTTTAATTTTCAAATACTAGCTTCAAATTTCATAATACTAAAGCCAAACTGGTTTTTGACTGAACACAATGTCCTTGGCAAGACTGAGTGCCTGAGCTTCTTATCCAATCAAGTGCTCAGAATAGGAAATATTTCATTAAGAAAAAAAAAAAAGAATATTTGTAAGATCAGACCAGATAATTTTGTGAGTAACACAGAGTAATCAGTAAGGCTTTCTGGAATCAGAGGGACTGGGCTGATATCCCAATCCCGCCACCTCTAATGGTTTGGTGATCACGGACAATTACATAAGCCAGTCTCCTCATTGTTCCCTCCACAATGGGACTCACTGATAACTCCAGCACAATAAGGCACTTATCACAATGCCTGGCTCAAGATATGTCCTCAGTCAGTGTTTGCCTCTTTTGCTATTATTATATACCACTAGAGTAAACTTTTAAAAGAAACCATAGATTAAAATCAGTCAAACTAGACTGTTAAGCTATAGCCAGGATGTTAGTTGTTTGTTTTTAAGACTCAATGAATTGGCTTTAAAATGTGGTGGATTTTCATCAGGCCAATTTTAAGGGAATTTGAGTGGTGAGATCTTGTTCTGGTGCCTGAGCCCATGTAGTGACCTTAGGCCAGGGCAAGGCTCACCTTCATGAGTCGTGCTTGTGCAGTTTATCAGCAAATGATGATGATATGAGGATTCTTATCTGAAGATCTTTATAGATGTGTTCATTGGTAGACAGTAGTTTTAAAAAGTTTGTTGGGCTGGGGGTGTAATAAAATGGTAAAAGCACTTGCCCAGCGTGTATGAAGCCCCGGGTCCTATCCCCAGCACCCCACAAAACAAAATATATATAAAAAAGAATTTTTAAAAATGTTATTTCTTCCTACATTTAGTTGGATGAAATAGATGTGTTTGAATAAACCTAGGTAAAATGGGTGTTGTTTTCCCAGGAGAAAAGGAAGATGATTAATACTGACTTCATAAACAGATACATATCAAGTGTTTATTCTGCGCAGGCCTGGAGTTTCAACTTAGGGGTAAGATGCAAACATCTATGGTTTGTATGGAGCTTATTAGTCTATGGAATTAAAATGCATTAGGGCTTTGGGGACATGAAAGTGAAGAAACGAAGAGAAGAGGGGCTTTGGAGTCAACCAAGACAAGGACAGGGAGATACAGATTCCAAAACAGATAAATGAACTTACTTGTTTACTTAAAATACAAGCACTTCCTAAAGATGATATTCATGCACACAGAGACTGGATTTGCTTATGGGTCAAATTTGCTGCAGTTTACTTGGTTGAGACAAATGGTCATATGAGAATTTTCCTCATTCGAAATTTTCAGAATGTCAGAAAACTGTATTTTAAAACTAAATTAGTTCAGGTAACAGTGATTTGGGATTTGTCAACTTTTTAAAATACACATATTTTTAGTTGTAGTTGACACATACCTTTATTTTATTTATTTTTATGTGGTGCTGAGGATCAAACCCAGTGCCTTGCACATGCTTGGAGAGTACTCTACCAGTGAGCCACAATCATAGCCCTGGATTTATCATCTTTGACCATGGACTAGATTAAAGTATTTTTGACTTCATGAAAATAGAAAGGTTGTCAAAACTAAGTAAGATTCAAAGTAGAATATATATAAGCTACTCAAGAGAGCAAACTTATAAAGCAAAATTAGATTCGCTTGTTATGAAGATGAATTACAAAAACCTACACATTAGTCCTTTTTTTTTTTTTTGTGAAACATCGTCATATTGACTTTACCAATCAGTACTTTGCTCCCATGATGGATAGTTATTCTACAAAGTTAGAAATAATAAAATTACTTTTCTTTGAAAACTTTCTCTCATGCTATCTTTTCACTCTTTGGGATGGATCTTACATCCATCTACTGTACTACATGAATATGTTTGAAACTTTTTACTTCTTTGTCTGACAACCGAACACAAAACTCTGGTCTCCAAAAGCATTGGTGGCCAGTTACCCTAGAGGATTCGGGAGCTCTGAAAACCACCAAGTTTGAGTAGGTCTGAATTGTGCCCAGATGCCTGTGTTTTGGAAGAGCTCCCTCGCTACTCAGATGTGCAGAGGAGTCAGGGAGCCGTCTAGCATCCCTGCAGGCTCCCGTCTTTC